CTGCTTCAGGGTCGTCCACTGTTTTCCTTTCTTCTGATTTGATGCCTGTGCAGCACAGTTCAATGAACAGTAAGACTTGAGAAAAGCAGTAAGTCACGCAACCAGAGGACTGAAGTAACACTCCCTGTTGGGGAGCAGTCACTGCCAGTGGGAAGGTCTGCATAAGTGTTTTGAGGACAATGGTGAGGAGGATTTGCTAAAATGAAAGTAATACTTTTGTACCAGAGTGGCATAAACATTTTAGTCCCACCCCCATGTTCGTGCTTCTGATCAAAACTTTAAAAAGAAGAATGAAAACCACCTTTCAGTATCTGCTTTGGATATTTTTAATTAAAATAATCACTAAAATGAAGGGAGGAGACCTTGATATGCTCCATAAATGTTGAGACTTTCCCTCCTCTSAGTCTCTTCTGCAGTGACGTCTGGTTGGTCCTCATTGTGGGGAGCTGAAAGTAGGGGGCAAAAGACACATGCCCATGTCCCAGGAGGACCTGAGGCCTGGAAGGTGTTCAGAATATGCTTTTTAACCTGGAAGGGAAAGAGGGGCACACCTCCTGCAAGTARTGGAGCACCAAATATCCTCATTTTTGTTTGACTTATCAGGGTTCATAAACAAAGCAGTGCCATGTGCATTTCGGTGTCTTTTCCACTAATTGTGAAAGAAATGCTTCTTCCTGACCTTCAAAAATTTGGGAAGGTAAAACCATCTAAGTGATGCCRTTTTCCTTTTGATCCTCTAGGGCAGTAAGTGAATTAATGTGTTTGATGCTTCTTTCTGTGGATTTGGCAAGAACTTCTGCCAAAGAAGGAAAGATGCAAAGAAAGGTAGATGCTGAAAATGTCAGGGAATTCTTCCTCCTCCTCCACCCCACCTTTAATGAGTTTTTTAGCCATTATGATGTTATGCGAGTCCTTCGTGGCTGTCTGGCTGTTTTTTTTGGGTTTTGTTTGTTTGTTTTTAAACTATTTCCAGATTAAGACCCTTAGAAGCCTCATAAAAAATGAAGCAACAAGCCCCAGCAGCCTGAGTTCTTGGGGTGGTTGCATGAGACTTACTGAGAGGCTGTCTGATGGACTGAAGTTAGACACAGTTAATGTACTTTCTAGAAGGAAAGAGAAAATATATTCCTAAAATAGATGACCATGCTGTACTTATTAATTATTGATGTTATGCGGGATAACTCCTTTCTTCTATTAAGAAATTGGAGGAAGAGGTTGATTTTAATGGAGAGGTTATAGGATCCTGGGATTCCTGTTTAAAAGACAATTTAAGGCAGRGCTTATTTATGGTGTCAATGTGGCGTATCTGTATGTGCCCAGAGGAAGCTGCAGTGTGAAAACTGTCACCAGTTTTATACTGATACCAGTTTCACTCAGCTCTGTATGATGAATATTGTACATATGTAATATCCTCAGTCTCACACATGAATTCATAACGGTGTCTCCATTCTAAAAGTGCAGGAATTACGAAGTCTGTAGTTGTTTTTACCAGAGTATCTGGATTTCTACTGACTCTTACATTATGGGGTTTTTACATCCTTCTACCCTGCCCAGCAGACAGGTTTGCAGTCTGATAGCAAGATATAGCCCTTACTATAATGTGTGCAGGAGGAGTGCTCCAGACTGATAGCATTCTTAAAWTTTATATTCCCTGATTCAAATAGATGGATTTATTTTTTTACAGAACAAACTTTCAAGGTGGCAAGGTGGAAGATTATCTGTTGCTCTTCCTGGAGAGATTGCCACCCCCAAGTCCAGTCTGGCTGCTCTTTTCTGCAGTCCAACTGAGAAGCAGTTGCCCATTGGGGAGGGGAGAACAGTTTGTGAATATTTTTGTTTTCTTGTGTCGGTTTTTAAATGTAAGTGGATTTAAATCAGAGTTCTTCCTTCTAAGTCAACAGAAACATCCAAAAATCTTGCTGGTGCAGGTTATTTTATTATTTAAAGACAAAAAGAAAAATACTATGCTGAGCTACCCATTGTTTATGTAGAATGTGTGCTTCAGGAGAAAGACCAACTAAAGAATAAACCCAATTTTGGTACTGAATGACTCCAGCTGAAATTTGGTGGTTGCAAAACCTGCCTCCTTTGTATCAACCTGAACTTTAAATTTCGTTACCAATAACGAGGAGATTGGAAAGGAGAGCAATAGAACCAGCTAATTCTTAGCTGCTAGCAGGAAGCCCCCAGGCACAAGCACAGGCTGTAGTAGGGAAGAAGGAAAAAGCTGCAGTGATTTCTAGCCTGGTAAATTCCTGCTGAACSTCAAGAAAGTAGATTTGGCCTGTGTTTAGATGTTATAAATCCACAGGGTCTATCAGATAGATATCTGTGTCTGTTTTGAGACATGTRTAAAAGTAAGCTTTGCTCTAGTTTCTCAAGAAGAGCAATAACTCCCCTTTTTTTTTCTATGCTGACTGATGTCTTCTGTTTGGTTTTATTATTTCTAGCTGAAATTCTGTAATGCGTTCAAGATCAGATTTCACGCTGACTCCTGGGCAATCACTTCTTTCTTAATCTAGGTGAGGACAGGATTGCTGGTCTGTGTCCTGTKGAAACCCAGAAGTCCCACTTCAAATATGTGTACCTATAACCCCATTTTTGCAAAAGAAGAAAATAAGGACAATTTAATTTTTTAAACTTGCACTTATTATTTCAACCAGCCAGTTGTTTATTTCATTAATGGTAATGATTTTACTATTCTGTCATCTGTGGGCGTTAAACATTTGCTAATTCCTTCTCTAATGAAGGTATCAGTGCMTGCATGTTATCTGCCTTTCAATTTCTGCTTTTAATAAGGTCTTAAATGAGTTATTCCTGCTTGCATAGGTGTGGGAGGCTGACCTGGCTCCATTGTTGGCTGTCCAAGCTTTTCTTGAAATATGAAGATCTATAAACAGGATGAAAAAGATTCCTGTCTTCATTCTCAAGTAATTTTCAAGTCTGACAATTTTCAAGGCAGGCAATGTGGTAAAAATGTGGGTGGAGAAGTGGACATTTTCAGTAGAATGCAGAGAAAGGGAAAAACACTCAGGGTGGTGGTTTCTCAGCTGGGAAATAGAAAATGTTGGGTGTGTAGCAGCACAGTTTCAGGAATTTATGCCATCAGTGTTAAGATCCTTTTTGGTCAGAGGTCAGATATCTGTTGTTGAAACTTTGTTTTGCAATTTTCTATCTGCTGTTTTCTTGAAGTGAATGGTAATTCCTACCTTTGAGATCTATATTTTGTATTTCAGGCTTTTCTCTCAGAGAAAAGATCTCAGATCTCAGAACTGGCAGCTGACCTTATCCTAGTTTGTGTCAAAAAACTTTCTTCTTTTAGGTGTAAAATGATTTTGAGTTTGAGCTTATTTTATTTTCTTTGAGCTTATTACTCAAAGTAGTAATATTATTATTACTATTGTTTCAGTTGRAGTTACTCTAGGCTTGGTTTAGAACAAATTATATTTGATTTATAGGATGAAAAGAGCTAATTATAAAAATGGCAATGCCTGGACAGCATATATAAGCAAATCATCTCTTTGATTATTTGGGAAAATTATTTGGAAAAGCTGGCATGTAAGCTCAGCTTGTGAAGTTTGGGGTCTCAGCACTTGACCCAGGAAGTTTGTATAAACCCATGGATCTCAAACAGCCGGAACTTGCATTTCTTGGCTTTCCGGGTATGGGGCTGTTAACAATACATGTGTTTTCTTTCTCTCAATTTTTTTTCCTCTGTCTTGAATACTGAAATCTGATCATCTGATACAAAAGTTCGCAAATGTACTAAATTGGGCTAGAATGTTAGTTTAATGAGCAAATACTACTTTAATGAGCACGAGTCTGTTTTCTTCCTSAAGAGCTTTATTTCTTTTAAGTGCAACTTTATTATTGAAAATGAAGGGAATATATTTTCTTGATTTTTTTAAAAAAAACATTGATATTTTAAAATTACCTTGTATCTAGCTCATAAAAAGGTATTTTCAAGTTTCAAAGRACAAATATGTTTTTAGCAAGGATGTGTTTAGGTCTCTTAAGTGATCTGTTTTTTCTCAGTACTTTCTAGGACTTACAGTTCTTGGATTTTTGTTTAAGACATAAAAAGCATATCTCTCTTCAAAATTGAATATACTTGGCTTGATTTAGCCTGGCTTTTGATTTAATAAAGAAAATAAAGTATTATTTAAACTCTGTAGCAGATGAGATTTGTGTCTTTGGTCTTATATATTTATTTTCTCCAGAGGGGGAAACAAATAGAAAGTTGAATAATACCTTGAATTCTAGAACATAGTTTGACTGACAGATCTGCTGCTGCTGCTGGAGCATCTTTTGATTGGAGGATAACCTCACCATATGGTGAMAATCCCAATATATTTTTCAGTACCAAATGCTATAGCATTAATGTCACTTTCCAGGGGTGACATGACTGTGATGCAGCGTACAGACTTTGCAAAAATAAATTATGTACTTGATGTCTACTGAACACAAGCATAATTGAAAACATGTTTTTTTATGAACATACTGTTTCCTGAGCACTTTTTTCTGCTTTTTCCTACCTTGGGGCTTATGTCTATCATCTGAATTCATTTTCTTCATGGTATTCAGTGTTTGTGGATGGGGAAAACTGCAGGTCTGTGTTGCAGTGAGGAGGGAGAGAGAATTTAGGATTACATCCCTTATGTACCTGAGCTGCCCTGGTTCGGCAGCAGATCGTGACACCTGCTTGGTTTGGGAAGATCCCTGCACTGTGGTACCTGAATCCTCTGTTCTGGCTTTAGTTCTCCTGTTGAATCTGTTGAATGGAGATGGTTTTAAGGATATAAACTGAAGGTGGCTGCTTGGGCTACTCAGTCGGTTCTCGTCTGATTCCCAGGCTCCTGCTGCCTTGTGGCTCCCACTGGCACAGAGAGCAGCTGTGTCGGTTTCTTCTGATGTCCTGCACCTTTGCAAGCTYAGTAGGTTTCATTAATTCCTCTTGACTCTTCATAAATTAAAATACATTATTTGTGTTTGCTGTGCAGCTTGCCTGATTTCCGCAGCGACCTGAGGAGGTTCTGGTGCCCGGGAATCCAAAACTTGGTGCTCTTGTACAGGCTTTCCACCAAGGGTAAGTAACCTTCTTCATGCCTGGGGGTCCTTTTGGGTGGGACACTCTTTCTGAACCTTTCATGTCCCACATCTTAAACACTGAAGTTTCAGCACAGAGACTSCAGGTGCCTGTATTTCTGTCTGGTATTGACCTTGTTTATCAAGATGTTCATGAACAGTGGTGGTCCAGTTCTTGTGGTACTCCAGCATGAATTCTTGGTTTATCCATTTTTGCRGATTAGCTGTACAGCAACTTGCTGGTGCCACCTGACGTGGGAAAAAGCTGTTCTCAGCAGAGGTGTTTCACAGCAGTGCTGTTGCTCTGTGGTGTCAGAAATGCCATCTGTTAATGCAGGCACCTGTTGTGTTGTGTGTGTGTGCTGTGCAGTGCAGAAGTGCAGTCTCCTGTGGTGTATCTGAATGGTTCTCTGTGGATCTTGGAGTGGGAGGGAGGCTCACAGCAGCAGGGCTTTGTGACTCCAGCTGAGGCTGCCTCTCTGGAGAGATTATCTGGAGTCAGGCACCCCAGCAGCATCTGAGGCTGTGCTTTCCCTTCCTTCTCATGTGACTTTACCAGGCTGGGGATGTATTTCCCAGTACCTGGCAGGCCAGCAGGGTTTCTCATCTTCCGAAATAAGATGTATGAGAAGTCTGGAATTGTCTGCCCATGAAGACAGTGTTGCTAGCTGGAAATACAGCTGTGTCTGTATGCCATACAAGTAGTTGAACTGGCAGAGCCCTGCAGTGTTTGCTCATAGAGGCAGGAAGCTTTTCCATTAGAATTGYGTTTCCATGTTTCTGAAACATAGCAGCACTCCTCTGGGCTTTTTTTTTATGTGATCCTTACAAGGGTGTTATTTTGTACAATCCTGATGGATGGAGGTGACCTGGCAGAGCTTTCAGTTGTATGCCAGCCTTGTAGCCACTGAGCAAATCTTACACATGCATCAAGTTCTTGCTTTACTTGTGGGATGCACAGCTGCAAACTCTTACCCTGTAAGTTTCCTCTTAGTTTCCTGGTTAGTTAATATGCAAAGAGAAGATAAATGCTAGTACCTAGATATTGATTTAGAAAATGGTTTTTCATGCTGCATGTTACTTTTCCCAGAGAATTTTCTTACTTCTCACTCAGAAGAATTTCAGAGGTCTTTATGATTTTGTTGTTTTTTGGTTTTTTGTTTTTTTGGTTTTTTTTTTTGGTTGTTATTTTGTTTTTCCATGTCTACATAAAGCTACACTCCAGTGACACATTTCTTATTAAATTAGTCTTTGTGCAAAGAGAATGATGGGACTCCAGCTACCAAGGACTAATGTCACGTTTGTATGTAGTTATATGAAATGTGAGTATTTTAGCCAGTCCAGTAAAGATGGCTTTTAAGGCYTTCTGGAAGGGTTCAGGGTTAGTCTTGGTCTTCATGGTTTTCAGGTATGTTAACCAAGCAAAYTTAGCAGTCTGTAATACACAGGAGGCTGTGCTGATGGTGCAACTTTTCTTACCAGATTGTTTTTCTTTAGTCTCTGTACCTACTGGAAAGAGCCTCAATTCTTAYGTGGGAGCGGAGCAGTATTCTTCTAAAACCTAGAGTTGCCATTAATCAGCACCGGCTATCAGAAAGTTCCTGTGATGTTATCATCACTTAAAATCACAGAATCCTAGAGTGATTAGTATAGGAAAAAATACCTGCTTGTTTGTGGAATATGTTACTCACAAAATTGTGCTAATTTTCTGGTGTTTGATTTTGTTAAATATAGTAATAGGTTGTGAAGGAAACCCTGGGGGAGCTTCTCCATTTGCAGCAGGCAAATGGAATAGCACTGCTCCCAGTGCTGCCATCATTCATCGTTGCCTTTGCCCCTGGTAACAGAAGATGGAGTACTGGGTAGTGCAGGACATGATTCATCCTTTTGCACTACCTTGGTTTATGATAYTTTCAAAAATAAAGAAGTTTCTTGCTATATTGATAGCAGTTGTCTTTGCAAACAAAGGACAAAGCTCTTGTCTTGCATGGGAGAAGAGGGTGTTGAGGAGAGGAGAGACCTAAAAAGAAACAATTGCATYACAGGTGGTTGATTGTCTTGAGGCAGTATTTCATTGTCCCCATACTCTTTTGTCAAAAAATGGGAAAAGGCCCATGAGGTAGGAATTACCATATTTTAGAAAGTATTAAATAAGTTGCATTTTTTAATGGAGTTTTACAATATTTAACGTGATTATTCATGGCTGAGTTAGGAATAGGAAGCATGAGCAAAAACATGAAACTATTCTGATGTTTGAATATTCAATTATCCATTTTCTTTTTCTTCAGAATAGATTCTCCCAGCAAGAAAGACAGAGCTTTTATGAGATAGCTGCAGATAATAAACTGTCTGTTTACAYGTGAATCAGTAATTAAATTTTTCTTCTTGGATGCTGTGAATCCTTTCTACTACATTGTCTCAGTRAACGTGACTTGTTGCATCTCATCTTAGAAAAGTTTCTGCTGTTTTTCAGCAGTTGTCAATACAATGGGAGTTGTGAATGAGGAAGGAGGAAGGTACCCAGGAATATGCTTACAATATTCTAAATGATRCCACCATTAGCTTTGCAGAAAAAATCTAAGAGGCCCTAACGAGAGCATGTCTCTCTACTAGTGTTCTATTTGAGTGACTGACATTTATATAAAACTGGATTCAGATGCAACATGGGTCAATTCTCTATGTCATTCAACAGCCAGAAAGTCTGTCCATATCTCAGTGTGCTACACATGGGTTTCGAATAATTTTTCACTTAATAAAAGCCTCAAATTCTACATTATATGGTTTGTTTGTCTCTTGTGGGCATTATTTTTGAGGGAAGGTGAGGCTAAATGCATATTTTGACAAAAACTGCAATATAACTTTCAGTGTAATTACTCATTAAATTTTTCAGAAGTTGTTTAGCCTGGAGAAAAGGAAGCTCAGGGAGGACTTCACTCTCTACAGCTACCTGACAGGAGGTTGTAGCCAGTGGAGTTTGGTCTCTTCTCCCAAGTAACAAGTGACAGGACCAGAGGAAATGGCTTCAGCTTGCACAAGGGGACATTTAGATTGGCTACTAAGAAAAAACGTCTTATTGAAAGGTTGTCAGGCATAGGAAGAAGCTCCCAGGCTACTTGTGGAATCACTTTCCCTGGAAGTATTCCAAGGATATGTGGGTGTGGCACGGGGAGATAGGGTTTAGTAGGGGACACAGCAGTGCCAGGTTAGCAGGTGGACTTAATGGTGTTGGAGGTCTTTTCCAGCCTTAATGATTCTATGACTTTATGAGTCTATTCCATTACAACACTGATACATTGATATGAGGTTTTGTTATAAAGCTATAGAGGGAGGCTTTGTATGGCTTCCTTCTAGAAAGACATTAAAAAAAACCTCACTATTTTTCTTATTTTGTAACTGAAGGTAATTTTTTTTCTGTGATGCTGCAGAAATTACTCTTTCCAACATTTATTCATTTACTAAAATGCTGTGGGGTTTTGRATGGCTGATGAACAACTCTTTAGGCAAGAGAGGTGTTGTATGTGMGCTTTCTATGTCAAACAGCTCTGCCATAAACCTCCCAAAACTGGAAACAAATGAGAGGTTTGTTTTGTGTACTCTATTTGGATACTGCAACATTGTTGTCCATATAATTTCATCATGACTTTCAATTTATTTTTGCTCCATATCCCTATGGGTTAAAAAAAAAAAAACAAACCCCAGAAGGCTGAGTTGTTTTCTTGTCAAAAATATAAATGAGCTCCTTTCTACGAATAAGACTCTAGTTGTTCCTTCAGCTCAGCAGAAAAAAATATGTTGCTAAGAGCTGTAGCACTTGTCCAGTTTATAGCAAATTGAGACATACAAACATATGCTTGGGAGCTAGATCTAGAAAATGGGGCTTTTTAAGGGTAGAAAAAAAAAGTAGCAGAAATTAAGATCCTGAACCATGCCTCAGAAATACTTCTTCTGCTTTAAGTCATTCCTGGTTTTGACTGCTTCAGAGAAGTAAGAAGGTGAAGCAAGTGGGCAGAAGGCAGAGTGAAAAATCTGTTCACAARGCTTCCTCCAAATCCTATTAGATGAAAGCCATGTTATCCTTTGAAATGTGACACCCCAAATTTTAGCACATTTTTTGTTGTTGTTTGTTCTGGGGGCTTTTTTTTTTGTTTAAAAAAACACTTTAAATATTCTTGTTATTCGCTAGCCAGCTTTATAAACCTGCTAGATCTTCGTCTTTTTATTTATTGAATCTAGACATTCTTTTTAACCTCTTTGTGAATTCCAGAAAAAAAGTCAATTAAATAAAAAATCGCCTCTCATTTAGATTCTTACTCCCAACATATTACAGAATTTGTAACTTTTAAGGTAATTTTGCTAGATGATTTTRTATCGTTTTGGAGGGCTAAACCAAGCTTTGTCTCAGCTTCCAATTTTTGTGTCCATGTTTGGAAGGACAGCAACAATGCTGTGTTAATTCCTACAAGATACAAGGAAGAAGAAAGTGGGGATATTGGTGAAATGTTACAAGAGAAAACCTAGCTGTGCTTGGAAAGCTTCCCACAGAAAACAAATGCACGGAGGCATCTTTTAACTTCAGAAGGAATAAGTACCTTCTCAGTTAGAAATACTGCTTTTACCAGACAGCTTTGAAAAATAAGTTTCATGGATCTTGGTGTAAATGGGGTTCAGAATATATGTCTGAAATATTGCCCTCTTGGTTTAGGCTTTACAGGAAGATCTGTGTTACCCGATGACGATTGCTTTGATCCTGTAATGCCTTTGCATTCCCAGAGCTCCTTAGCTTGCCAGCTTCCTTCTGGCACACAGCCCGACTGCTGCAGCCCCAGAGGCTCAGAGCACCACAGCTCTTATTTTTTTTTTAATGTGCAACATTACTTCTAACTTAACAAATGCTTGCCAATGAGCAAGTAAAATTGAGATCATTAGCTGATTCYGGTTCAGATAGATGCACCAAATGAAGGAGGTTAACTATTGTAACTATTTATTACTAATGTAATAAAC